TAAATCATTATAACCATATTCTTGTTGAAATATACATTCTGTTGAATTTATATTTGGTAAACAAGGTATTGTTTCATTATTAACAATTGTACGAAATATTGGTTTACCAACTGTTGATAAACACATTTCAATATAAATAATAATTGATGTTAATAAACAAAATACTATAATTGTAAATGGTATCCAAAATATTGTACTTAAAACAGAAAAAACAGCATTCGCACCATGATCTAATAATATAATACTTAATCGTATACGATCAAATAAAGTTAAAACAATAAATAAAGTAAGAAGAAATAAAAATGTTGTTATACAACCAAATATATAATAAATTGTTCGTAATTTAATAAAATCATTAACAATTTTTGCAACTGTACTATATTCATAAACTAAATCATTTCCTGTATAAATTGAATACCAACAAAATGAACTTGAAAGAAATAATATGACAAGTAATATTAATATTGTTAGAAAAACCATTAAACCAGTTAATAATTTTATAGCTAACATATAAATTAATACAAGTATAAATGCTATAAATATAAATAGAATTAAACTTTGTTTAATTCGATTAAGATCAGAAAATATAATTCGACCAACATCCGATAAACTATTTATACCAAACATATGAGTATTAATATGTGCAACAGATATATTTGTATTTAATTGAGTATTATTTTCATAATCATATAGATTTGTTAATACAGATGGTAAACATCGACCAAGAAATGGTTCAGATGGTAATGTATATGGTGCACAAAGACCATCATTAACTAATTCTGTTATTGTTCGATTATCAAGTATTGGATCAAAATCATACATACATATTAATTGTTGACGTACAAGATCTTTTGTTTTCATACCATCCATTTCAGTGATTTGTAATAATTCATAATGTGTATATTGTGTTGGACATGAACTAACACATATTTTTGTTGTTGGACAAATAAATGAAAAAGCACCATCAGTTAAACATTTACTTATATCGAAATAAAATTGATATGGTTGAAATTCAAATTTATCTTGTCCACATAAATTACCAAATGAATCACTTGAATGAACGAAACTTATTGGTTGACTTTTACTAATTGCTAATATCGATATAAAGATATAGATAACAATAAAAATAATAAATAAAATAAGACAAAATATATCAGTGCAATGTCGCTGTTTATAACTAACGAAATGTATCGGCTTTGATATCATTCTTAAAAATGACGTGTTATCGTAGGCATACAATCATATTTATTCGTTTTTATATAATAGTCCAGCTGATACATCCATTATCTATTATAATGATCGAACACAGATGATGTTTAATCGATTTTAATAGAATATTAAAAAGAAAAGAATCTTTTCTTATAATTATTTTAACAAAATAACAGTATGTTCAAATAAATGGCAAGTGTGATCAAATGATCAATTAATTAATTAATGAAAAAATTACATAGTGAGGGATTTTAACAAGAAGCAAACTTTGAACAGATTGATTATACGCAAATATATCTATATTAGATAGTGAGAAAAAGATTTATTAAAACTTTATATATACAGAATGTCCGAGAAGTCATTTAACAAAAAAAATATTTCAGTATTTTCCTTACCGTTCGAGGAAATGAGCTGATTTTTTTATCAATGATAGCGACATGTCTAGAGAGATCATTTGTTAAGTATAATTATTGATTAGTGGTGGTACTTTATCCAGTAGTGTAAAGATAGAAGACTATCTTTACTATTGACTTCAACAGAAAAATGAATATCTTCATTACGACTCGGGCAAACAAATTAGCTTTTTATCATTGGTAGAGATGCATTTAAGTTTCATTTTGAAAAAGACATGTTTATAGAAATTCTTTGTTCAGTATGTTGTTTTTTTTCTTATCTGTGGAAAGATAATTTTTTCTGTTAAAATCAATAGTGATACTTAACAAATGATCTCTCTCTCGACATATCTTTATGGATATATACTTTGAACAAGTCTATATCGTCGATAAAAATAAATCAGCTCAAGCCATACGAGTAGTATTCAAATATTTTTCTAAAATGAGTCTTCTGACATTCTGCATATATTTGTATAGCTTCCACAAAAGTTATAAGAATAGCGTATTGTTCGTTCATGATTCTTAAAGAAAAAAGTATGTGATAGTGGTTGTTAGCTGAAGACAACTGAACCATTTATCAAACTTTGAAATTATTTTCTAACTTGATTTCTGAGATACTGATTTTTAATACAATCCTGTTAATTATTTATTTGTTTCATTAATATGTAAAATAATTTTTCTTCTTTCCTTTTGTTTGTCCTACAATTTTTTTACTTAATTGGGTGAATAGCTATTTTATTCGACGTCAAAAATAAATCTAATTTCAGAAAAGCTACTCGAGAGTTTTTAGTTACAAGTAAAAGATAAAGTTTTATGAAAATCATAATTTATGATTATAGTATTGACAGCTATGAAAGTAAAAGTTAAACTTATGTAGAAGGTAGAATTTATAAATGTGTTATTAGCAGCCATACAAATCTGTTGATAAAATAAATGATGAACTTTTTCTGTGATTATAACGCATAACTGTATTATTCATGGTCAAAGAAGTTTAACAAATAAGTTAAAGGTAAACTTATGTCGAAAGTAAAAGTTATAATTGTGTTATTGGCAGCCATAAAAATTTGACAAAGCAAAATTTTTCATATATCGTATGAATAAACTTGCGTCAGAAGATAATATCGTTCTGAAGAGAAAGTTATTTCGTAAATCTCTCGAATCAATGTTTATCTGAAGACGCCACATCAGAGCATTCATTCTTTTAAAAGCTTGATCACATAAAAAAACGTTGATCATAAAGTAACAGAAGAGTAAATTTGTTATGGTTAGATGAGGAAGTACGAAATATTATTGGAAACACCTGTGACACACTTTAGTTTAAGTAACTATTTATATATATGTATGCATGTATGAAGACCATTATCTGTGTCGTTTTCTTTAGTTATTTTGCTTGTTAGTAACTTTTCTCTTACATGTTTGTATTTTGACTTTTATTTATAGAATCATGTGTATAGACATCACTTTCAAATATTTTGTGTTCAGGTTTTTAAAATGAAACAAATCAATCAACTTATTTTATTATTCGTTACTGTAGCTGTTAGTATAACAGATATAGATAATTAAAAAGTAATCAGAAGCTGTTTGATTCGTTTTTTCCTAATAGTTGGATTCTATCAAAGAAACAATTATCAACATTTATCTGTTCATTTATAGATAGTTATCTGTTGATTTTATACTTTCAACATTAAACTATCAAACGGTTAGGTATGCTCGATCTTGATGAATATATTGTACCACTACATCCCTACAAAACCATCGTTGATTATATACATGAAAAGTTTGGTTGACGAATTATAGGATCAATTAATTTATCGAGTTAATTCTTTTGCAATAAAAACGCTAGTGCATATACTCCAGGAGAAAATGATACAAATCGTTTAATTATCGAACGATCTACTTTTAGTGCACGTCATCTATATAAACGTGGACGGGAAAAGTATTTGAATCGACCACGTTTTGTTCAATATCTATCAATTCATCATCAAACAGTTGGATTTTCGAAAAAAATAACCATCAGAAAAGCACATGACACTTGCTCATTATGTATTGACGAGTCGTCTACGTACAATGCAGGGATGTGATTTGAACGAAATCGTTGAAGACAGTGGTATTCGTTAATAAAGTGAAAGATACGATAGCAACTTTGATGAATAAGTATTCAAATCGAACAATTCTATAAAAATATTTAAACATTTTTTATCAGTGAATATAGATTATTCGGTATTTTTATCTTTCACGTGAGAAAATCCAAAGAAGATCATTGAAACATGCTAGTATTATGTATATTCAAGTAAGATGTTTTAAATATCATATACTACATTTTAAAATGAATATGTAAGATGATATCTTATTACGAATTCTCTTCAATTCTCTTACAAAAGCTTTTTTTGCAAGGATTCCAGTCATTTTTGGAAAATACATAAAATCAATAATACTGGAATGTCTTCTTAACTTCCTAAAGCACTATATCTTTGATCATTTGTGAATTCTAATAAAGTTTCACGATGATTTACTAGTGAATATCAATGAATCTGTTGCGAGTATTTCGAAACTATTCACGTATAAATTTATTTTCTCTTTTAATGTAATATAGCATTCTAAAACGTCAAGATGTAAGCATTTATTCTTAATAATGAATTTTATTCCTACTAGGAATCGACTAAAAAATACTGAGAGTACAAATTTGTAAAAAGTGATTATATACATCCAGATAGATATAGTGAGTTAATTAGTAAAAATTAATTTATATCATATAGTCTTACATGTATGAAATATCTTAGTCTAATGTAAGTGTTAATAAGCAACAGCATACAGAAAATTGAAGCATAGATTAATTATCGTATTTAAAATACAGGATATGTTTTTCAACTATCCAATTTATATACCAATTAATTATGAAAAAATATATTATTTGTTGTTTTATAATTCATAAATAAGAAGAAGAGCGTTGACATAATACAATTTTCAATAAATGTAATGAATCAAAAATTCAGTTACTTTCTTTGAAGCTGAAGAGAAGAAGTCGTAGAAATGTTTGTAAGCTGATTGATTTTTATTTGTATTAAATTTTTTCTTCTATACATGTGCTACTGTATTGCATAACCTACACTTTTTTTTTGAATATAATAAAGAATTCATAAAGCAAAATTACTATGAAGTTAAACTATTTTGTATATGTTAATCATTAAATGTATGTGAGATTATTAACGTAATTTTTTACTAATTAATTCATAATATCTGTCTGAGTACACATAGACATTTCCATTGATTTAACAATCATAATGATGCTATTATTTTATTTAGATTATTTTATTAAAATATTTCTCACGAAAGAAAATGTATAGAAATCAAACTTTAAAAGTAATTAGTTTGATTGTTATTATGGTTTTGTTTTTATATATGTTAAATATGTATTCACAAACTGTATACGATTTACGATTATGGAAGAATAATAATTTATTTAATGATACTAAACAATGTCGTATTATTTTACATGAACGTGGTGGTCGACTTGGGAATCGTTTATTTATGTTTGCATCAGCTTATGGTTTATCACTTAGACATTCATGTCAATTGTATATAGATCGAAAAATTATCGATGAACTTCAAAAAGCATTCGAAGTTGATTCACCAATTTGCTTATCAAAACCACAATTAAGTACTTTTACTTCCATTAAAAAAATATACAATCATTGTTCATATATTCCTAATCTTTTATATTCGAACAAAAGTTATTCTCTGGAATTATCAGGATTTTGGCAAGTACATAAATATTTTATCGATCATATGGAACAAATAAGAGAGCAACTACGTTTTAAACAATCAATTCTAGATCGTGTCAATAATTTTCT